TGGGGGGAGGGGGCGGAGCCCAGGTGGGGGCGGGGCCTGGGGGCAGCTAAGGGACCAGCCTGGTTGGGTTGGATGTGATAGGGAGGTTTTCGCTCGGGCCACTGCGCAGGGGCCGGTACCTTTATTCTGAAGGAGACGTACTGCTGGGGGCGGGTGGGGACCAGGAATTCCATTTCCGGATTTCCAGAAGTTTCAAGTGGAGGCAGAGAGAGGTCGGGCTGCAGATGACAATGTCAGAGTGGCAGAATGCGGGGTGGAACGTGTGGGGAGAAGGAGGACACCGAGGGAACAATGGACAGACAGAGGGGGCCCAGGATTCTCAGTACTCGTAACAGATGCGTTTGGCAGTGGTCACTGTCGTTTTTCCTTTTGATGAGCAAACACGGACTGCAAGAGGAGGCAAAAAGCAACCCAAGGTCAAGGCTGTCCTGCACGACCCCTGGGGGCTGGCCACCTGCTGCGGTGACTGCTGGGGCAGGCTGAGGAGCATGTCCTCAGGCCAGGGGCAGAGCCCGTCTCCCTGCAGCAGACGCAGGCACCCCAGAGAGTCCGGAAATATGGCGCATACAAGCCGGTTACAGCAGATCAGCCCCAGTGATGCCAGGAGAACACAGCTGCTTCCAGAATCATCCCGGCATCTCAGTCCAGGCTGTGTGTGAGGGGGACGTTCCTAACGCCCAGCAAAGTGTTATCTGTGTGCTGTGCATGGTCACCAATGCAGCGGTGGCTACCTCTGCGTTCTCTCATATCATGCACCACTCTGTGTCCTCGAGCTTCCCTCACAGCATCTCATGACACCCCTTTAAATAAATATCACAGGATAAGTGGGGACATAATGGAGGGTGGGGACAGCCTTCCCCACGCTCCAGAAAGCTCACTCCTTCCAGAAGTTCTGCCAGCCTTGCTCAGAGCCCCGGCAAGGGGTTCTGGAAGTTTCCAGAGGTGGGGGACCACTGCTGCTTCCTCTCAGGATGAACTGGTCTCCCAAGGCCCCCAGCCCCGGTATCCTCACCACTGGACAGGTGTTGGTGGCCAGGCGGTTGTACATAGTGGGGTGCCGAGCCCGAGAGCTGGCTCCTGGGGTTTTCCTCCAGGGATGTTTCAATCTGGCCTCGGTTTTCCTCTCACTCCTAGTTGGTTTCCATGGCCCAGGTTGGGTCAAACTCCCACCCCCATGCACCAGTGGTTAAGCATAGGAGTAGGCTGGACCCAGGCACAAGAAACTTAACTGCCAGGGGCTCCTCCCTCAGGTGGGGCCATCCCCAGGGAAGAGGGCTGCAGAAACCCCCAAAGCTGCCCTTGCAGCAAGAACTGGTGGCCCTAGGGCTGGCCCGTGGCTCACTCGGGAAAGTGCGGTGCTGATAACACCAAGGGCACGGGTTCGGATCCTATATAGGGATGGCCAGTTGGCTCACTGGCTGAGCGTGGTGTTGATAACACCTAGCCAGGGGTTGAGATCCCCTTACTGGTCATCTTTAAAAAAAAAAAAAAAAAAAAAAAAAAAGAACTGGTGGCCCTGACAGCGGTGGCCAGCACTCCGCCTGGGGGAGCCCAGCTGGGGGACCACCCGACCCCTCTTCTCCCCGATCTCTCCTCTTCAGCAACAGGAAGCCACTGAGTTTTCTTGAGACAAACCATGGACTGGATCTTCAAAGGACAACTGTCTGTAGGGCCAGTTCAGGCCACACTATCAAAGATAAATGAAGCTGGACATTAGTTAAAGCAGTGAAAACAGATTTTATTCAGTAACTGCTGCAGTTGGGGAAAGGGCACTCTAAAGGAGGGTGTGGTATTGGGAGGGGAAAGGGCTCAACTGAAGAATGACAGAGGCTTGGTCAGTAAATGCCATTATGCCAGTCGTGTCTGCTAGCTGGCAACTGTCCAAGCCAGGATTCTACCCTCCCATGAGACTGGGAGATAGGGGCCCACCCTTCCTGAGGATCCCATTTCAAAGGCATGGCTCCTAGGTCCTGGAGAAAGACACTCGAGGATTACAGGAGGTGCAAAGACATCTCAAAGGACAGAAGAAGGAGTCACAGCTGCAGGCCCTTCCAGTAAATGCTCTGAGAGGGAGGTCAGAGGCCTATGTCAGTAAACTACTGCCTTTCAGAGGACTGGGTAACAGGCATTCTGCCTGGATCCTGGAGAAGGTGGACCTTGAGTGGACAGTCCCTAGGTCATGGTCACATCCTGGGTGCCATCTCTGAGGGAGCACCAGGGTGGGAGAGGGCTGAGTGCTCAGTCCCACCTGCAGACAGAGACTGGGGACCCCATGGGCTTGTGAAACCCTGACTGCAGGCCCTGAACACAGGGACTCTGATACAGCAGGTCTAGGTAGGGCCTGAGAATTTGCTCTCCAACAAGGTCCCAGGTAACAGAGATGCCCAGGGAGCATGCTTGTGTCCCACTGCTTTGGACCACCTCCTCATGCTTGGCCTGGTGGGTGCTGAGGGCTTAGGCTGGGAGCAGGACAGAGGTGTGCTCAGGGGCAGGCTGTTCGCCCTTTATCCAGTGGAGGCATTCCCACCAAGCTCACAGGCTTACTGAGAGCATGAATGACATACACTGTGGAAACCTTCCCAGCTTGGCACACAGCAGGCAGCCGGCATTGTTATCCACACCCAGCCCCTCTTTTAGAAAACCTTCACCAGGTGTGTCAGGAGCTGGGCTTCTACCAGGGAGGCCCAAATGAAAAGCCCTCATCCTTGTCCTCCAGGAGAGAGGAAATCCAGCCATTACAATTCCAGGGACAAGAGCTATGCATGCTGTGGCATCCCCTGTGCCTTCAGAGTTCCAAGCCCAGCACTGGCTCTGCAAGGATCCCGCATACTCATGCATGCCCTGGATCTTGGGGCATCTGCGTACCCCCTGAATGTGGATGCCAGGCGGCCTTCCTCCTGAGGGCCATAGTGCTCCATAGGCACCAGTGATCCCCTCGGTCCTCGTCCATCACTGGCTTCAGCTGGGTCAGAACAGTACCACATGGTCCGGCTCTGGGCAGCCTTGAGCCCCACAGGTCTGCAGGGACCTCACTTGACACCCCTCTCCCTGCATCCCAAGGCTTTACGTACTGATCAGAAAGAGGCATCAGAATACCAAATGTGAGCGTGATTTACCACATGCCAGCTCCAGACCCTGGGGGCAGAGTGGAGACTCGGCGTCCCAATGGAGTAAGAGGCATCTGTCGCTGCTCAGGTGCGTGGAGACACACAGGGGGCTAGGGCTGGTAATCTCTGTCATCTCTTGGCCCACAGGGTCCTCACACAGAAGCCACATTGGCCCTGGTGGGCGTTGTCCAGGACCATGGCTTCAGCTGCCCCTAACACCACATAAAGCCTCATGTTAAGTCCAGCCATCCCAGAGATGCCCCCACATTGGGTAGAAACCACACCTCCGTAGTGGCTGCTCTGGAAGGTGCTGCCAATCCCTTCAAGGGGCTCACAGGGCTCCTCGTGAATTTGGGTTGTGTCACATAACCAATAGCTGCTTTCAGTCATACTGTCCCAAACATGGCCTCCTGGTGCCATTTCTGGGTATGACAGTACTCGAGACCAGCAGTTCTGAACTTCATATCTATATATCTATATATCTATATCTGTATCTCTCTCTCTCTCTCTCTCTCTCTCTCTCTCTCTATATATATATATATATCAATTGCCAGACATTTAACTGTCTCTTTCCTGAAACTTCTCCTTAGAAAGCTTCTGTTTGTATGTACAAGGAGGACACTTATGCCAGCATATCTGTTACAGCAAGAGACTGAGGACAAGCAATGTGGGCACTAATGGATCCATAGCCACATCAACAGATGGTAGCGAGAGCCAGAGGGAGTGGGGGGCAAACTGCAAGGTTGTTACTGCACATAAGAAGCCAGGCTCAGAGCAGTGCAGAGAGACACATCTGCTTGGTGTGACTAAAAGCATCCGTAAAAAATAAATTTCCATAGATAAAACTCTGTTTGTATAGAAGTTTCTAGAAAGTCAATAGGAAACTGGTAATAACAGTTATGACTGGGGAGAGAACTAGTATCTAGGGGCAGGGATGGAAGGAAGACTTTTCACTGTATACATCCTTTTCATATTACTTTAAAATTTTTTTAAATTAATTACTTTGCTAGTTAACACAGTTCCTTGTGTGTGAGGGCTTCTCTGCAATGGCCTTCTGCAGCTCCACCCCTCCTCTAGGGATGAGTATCTTTGTCTCTGTCTGAGCTTGTTTAGTGCTACTGTAACAGAACTCCACAGACTGCACAGTTTGTGATGAACAGAGATCTGTTGGCTCATGGTTCTGGAAGCTGGGAAGGCCAAGATGGAGGGGCTGGCATCTGGCGAGGGCCTTCTTGATGCGTCATCCCGTGACAGAGGGTGAGAGAGAGGGAAGGGAGACAAACTAGCCCTTTTATAAGGAACCCCCTCCCCCAATAATCAACCCACTCCTGAGGTGATGGCACTGATCCATTCATGAGGGCAGGTGCCTCATGGCATAACCACCTCTTAAAGGTCCCACTGATTAACACTGTCAATGGCAACTAAATTGCAACCTGAGTTTGGGAGGGGGCGAACATTGAAACCTCAGCAGTCCCAAATACTGGGTGGGCTGTGGAAGAGGACGCTGGTTTTTAAAGAATATGGTCTTTAGAAATAGGCACAATCTCATGAAGTAAACTCAAATTGGTATGGTTATTAAGAGGGAAAGCAATTCAGGTTGCAGAAGCAAACATTCACCTACATCCAAGGCACACACAGATGAGCACTTTTACCTCCAGAATCAACTGGGCTGATGCTGAAAGAATTCAACACACACCAGACTCTTGGCTCCATACTCTGTATTTTCCATCTGTGGAGTCTTCATGGCCACTGCATTCCTGGATAGAGTAGTTGAGAACACATCTAGGGGAAGAGGGAAAAATAGGACTTGTGAATACCCAATAAAGCCTTGAGTATATAAGTGGATACAAATTCAAGTGAGTGCCAGCCTTGAATAAATCATAGAGTCTAACACCTTGGGTTGTGAGCAGTCTATGTGGTCACCTGTCCCAGCTGGATGAGTACCTCTGTCTTTCCTGAGGGGGGCCTAGCTCTGCCCGGGATCTACTATTCCTCTTCAAAGTCTATTTTGTGTGGTTGGGTTTTCACTATGGATCCTGGAAGGGGTGAGTCTTGGAGGGGAGTGCTGGCTCATAGGGCCCTTCCCACTGTTGGGAAGAAGGGTAGAGGTGTGGCTGCTGAGTCTGGACTCAGTAGCCTTCCTTTGTGGCCTCCAACCATAGCCTGTTTTGTTCAAAATTTTGTTCTAGATATGTCATCTGTTAAAAGTTTTACTGAAAAGGAAGTTAAAGATAAAGAGACTTTATTTCAGTGCAGTTTGCAAATCGGGGAGGTACAGCCTTTAGTACAAAATGAAAGTGCGTTCCACCAGAACAAAGAGGGATTGTCCTCTATGTGAGAAATACCCTTACCTGTCCAATGCCAAAGGAAGGACGTGGAGACACAAGGTACAGCAAAGTGGGACTTTAATTAATTACAGCCTTATAAGGTTCGGGTGTCTGAAGGGCAGGCACATAGAAAAGGACTGTAGCAAGCAATTTATTCCCCAGTACTCAAGTCCCTCCTCCCACTTCCTCATTAGCTGAGTACTATGGGATGCACGATCTTCCTGAAGACGGCTAAAATTTCTTACCCCCTTGCAAGGAATTCCTTTGTCTGGGAGCCGAGGAAAAAGTCCTGCTAAAGCCCTGTGAAGGGAGAAACACCAGGGAATGACGAAAACAATGGGGGCTAGTAACTAATTACCATCTCAAGGAGAGCTCTATCTGTTCAGAGACCCTCCAGGAATGGGCTGGACCAGTCAGACAACTTTTGGGCTGGGCATGAATCCCTCAGATAAGTCATTTCTGAAAATGGATCACTTAGATTACTTTCTTACACTCTATAACAAGAGTTCTCGTACAGTTTCCCACTCTGGTCCTCTGTGCACATGAGGGATTCAAGCTTGTCCAGTCCTGATCTGTTTGGCCTGATGTGTAAAACAAAGATTCTGGCCTGCCAGTTCTGGCCAGTTAACACTTGACAGGTTACAGTCCACTGGTTAAGTTCTGGGAGTGAAATGGGTCTCCCGCGCAGTAGTTGATTCTGGCAGCATAAACAGGACCAGACAGCCACGAAACCCTCCAAGTCCAACTACTACTCACCCTGGGATCTTTCGGTTTTGCTTTTTTGTTTTTTTCCAGAAGACACAGGGTTTATGTGTACCCTGCGCTCAGCAAATCCTGCTCGGCTCCATTCGGAATTCAGACCCCCTTGGCCGCTCGGGATCCATCTCCAAAGACCGGCTCTTTCAGGGTCCACACAGCTTTGCGTCCCCTTAGGAGGAGACTGCGTCTCCGCCTGTCCCTAACGCTCCCGCGGCGTCGCGTGCACGGGGCGGCGGCGGGTCCGGGAGCAGCCTCGCTTCCGCGCTGAATGGGCGGTAGCACCCGACCGAGGAGCGCTGCCTCGGTCCTCACGTCTGCAGCAGAACATCCGGTCTCCAGGACGCGCAGCCTCTGACCCGTGCGACCCCTTCCACCGCCCCCCCCGTGCCTTCGGCATACCCTTCCGGGCACTTCCGGCGCCGCCCGGCCTGCGGAACGCGGGTCGCGCCGCCGCGGCTCTTGTTTCTGGCGGATGCCCGAGCGCAGGATCGGCTTCCGGGTAGTCTCCGCCTGGGAAAATGGGGAAAGTGAGGGGGCTGCGGGTGCGGGTGCACCAGGCTGCTGTAAGGCTCCAGGGGGAAGCGGCTCCCGGCCCCGCGCCCCCCGCTCAGGAGGCGGCC